GGATCTGAGGAATCCTAGAACAAAATGCCATCAGCAGCCACAGCAGCAAAAAATCTGGGAAGACACAGAAACTAGGAAACATTTCCCTTTCAAACAGAAAAACTGGTAGGCAAAGTCTCCAAAGCTGTGAGGCAATACTGGCTCTTGAATTCTATCATTGTTTGGCCTCAGTTCTCCTTTGAGTACCTGACTCTCATGGCATTAACTTCTCCCTCTCTGGCAGAGCTAATGAAGTACAGAGGCTTTATCTGGAGGCTAATGGCTCTCACACAGCCGATACAAGAGAACCACGCTGAGCTGCGGTGAGGATTTATGGAATGATGTTCCTGAGCAATAGCACTGCATATTTCGAACCATCTCCCTGCTAAGTGAACCCCTACATGCACTGCCTCGGCTTCCTTAATAGAAAATGGGCTCACAGAGCTGCTGATTTAACCAGCACTAAACTAAAATGTAATATGAGGATACAGCTGAACAAACCTGACACACTTGCTAGAGGGGATGACTTGGGAGGGGAAAAGGAAGTGGCTTTCTGCTCACTGAGGGGAGGGCAGGAGGGAGGCACAGGAGATTTCCATTCTTGCTTGATGGGTGCCCCTTCAGGGAGCACAGCAGCCTGGAGACCTTGCCAGAGCTCAGGAAACCGGTGTTTTCTTCTGAAGTCTGTTGTGGCTTTAGGAAGAGTGGTCTGTTATCTCCCTTCCAGCCCCCAAACTGTCGGCCTCATCTTGGGGACCAGCTTTGGGATCTCCATCACTTGGGATGCAGGTAACTGTAGGCAGGCTGTGAACTGGGATCACAGCATCCTCCTGCGGGCTCGGCTGGGGTGGGGGCTTGTCCACGACCGCTCTCTTGTGCGTCTACACTTGGGGAGACGCGTGTGTCCTTCCCCTTAGCCAGCTGGGGAAACGCCTGAAGCCAGCCCAGAGGTCTGGCAGGGCAACTGGGTGGTGGTGGAGCACCCCAGACCCCCCCATGAAAGGGGTCCAGCCCCTCACCCCCATCAGCACGCCGTTTCAGACCTGTGGAGATCCACTCCAGCCATTCCCTAGGCTTTCCAGGGCAATGTGTGTCTGCAACAACCTGGTTCCCTCCACCTACCTACAGAACAAGCCCAGAACTGCCAGACAAGAGGCAGGAAACTGCTACTTACCTGATCTGGTTTTATTTTACTTCTTTTTTATTTTTTGGCTCTCAAAAATATGTTCAGTCTGGATTGAGGTTACAACCTGGGTAATGCCTCCCTGCCTAAAAAAAAGGCTGTTACCATAACAACCTGACTCTGCACTTCATTACCATGGCAATTCTCAGGAATTATTAAATACTGTGTATGTTTGGTGCACGCGCTCCAGTACATCTGGTGCCAGGCTCAGGTTGGGATCCTCCCTCCTCCCGAATCTGTTTGTCTGTCTCATCTTGTTTAACTCTTTCATTGCCCTCAGCCAAGACTGCCAGGGAAGGGAGGAGGAGGTGGGTATCATTAGGGACTTGGTTTGGGTTTTTCCCCACTGCACGCAGGACTGTATGACCAGGGTTTCTGGGGTTTCTCAGGTGGGTCAAGCCTCCTCTTTATTTCTTCAACTGTAAAATCAGTGATTACAGAGGTAGAAGATTTCTCTTTGCAGGCAGATTGTTCAGCAGGGGGAAATGGTCTCACACTTTCCTTCCTCTGCTGTTTCCCTGCTGCCTGTCTAGAAATAAGAAATTCCAGCCAGAACAGAATTGCGGCAAGTGGGGACCAGCCCAGAGACAGCTGTTCCTGAAGGAGGATTGTGAAGGTCCAGTGCAGACTGCTCTTGGAGGGGGTCAAGAAGCACCTCCCCATTAGTAGGATAACTTGACTGACCATGTACTGCCTAAAATCATGATTGTTTTCAGTGAAGGGATGCAGACTACATGGACCAGTGTCTCAGACCAGTGTGGCCAGTCCCACAAGATTGCATTGGTGGCTTGTATTCCACTGCTAGGAGATGGTTTTAAACGAGACTCAATGGCTGGTCCTCACTCTGCCACTGATGTGATGATCCACCTAAGCATGTCCCTTCTCTCCCTGTCTCTCTGCTCTACTTTATAGCTAATAGTGTCTCTCAACCATAATTGTACAGCTCCTGGCACCCCACTGACGTTCTGGAAGCTAATGTGCTACAAGCAACAATTAAAATAAATCAAAATAACATTAAACAAGCCTCATTCTAAAAAACCTGCTTAAATTTTCTTGGGAGTCAGTACCCACTTGCGAGCTTAAGCTGAGTGAGTAGGCGTGAAATGAAAAAACACAGATATTTGTAGGGAAAGGCAGCAGAAAGAGCCATTATGGTCTGTTTTCCTTACACAAGCCCTGGAGTAACTACCTCATCCTCGGGCTGCAGGCCTCGTGCCTCTGGGGCAGGGCAGCTGGGTTTTCAGGGTCTGAGATGGCAGCTCTTCTCCTGAGACCTGGGGAGCACCAGAGTGCCCTCAGCACCCTTCCTGCCACCGGGCATGACCTGCACTAGCTTCTGCTCTGTGCAAACAGGATGGGGAAACAACTGGGGCAGTTAAAACAACAACCATGACTTCACCTCAAGAGGGTCTTTAGACCCCAAATCTCTAACCCAAGGGGTTCTGTCACCATACCAGCCCTCTGTTGCCTTCCCTCTGGTCTCCCCTTGCCATCTCAGTGCTGGCATCAATCCTCAAGAGATCTTATTTTTCCCAAATAATTCCTCCTCTCAGAGGGGTAATCATCTTTTATTGTGAATCTAATGGGATGGGAACTATTGGGAATCTAATGGCACAACTAGAGGATGAATAATCCAATGTAAAGTTGGGCTTTTGCCTCAGGGGGACATGTGGAAAGTCTTCCCTCTCCTAACTGACTCCTGAGTAGGTTCCATCAGCCTCAGCAAGTATCCAGCTCTGCTTTCTGGGGCATTACACCACTCCTCCACCTCACGTATACATGACCCTACTGTGGTTGACTTTTCTTCTTTCCTCGGGAAGTCTCCACAGCACAAAAGGGTTGAAGACCCCCACACCTCACTCCTGGATGTGGCTTCTAAGGACATGTGGGGAGTTGGTGGCTATGTGGGACTGCAGAGCCATGTTTCCCCACTGGGCAGCAGGACCCCTCAACACACACACTAGTGCTCATGGCCTCTGGCAGAGCAAGGCAGGCAGGGACAGCTGAAATCATTTGACCAGCTTCTTCACTCAGAGTATTGCTGCAGGTCAGAGCTAAGGTGATTTTGATACTTTCTTTGAATTAGCAACTTTTCCCGTGCCTTGCTTGCATTGGTAACACTGGAATATTTCTTCGCTCATCTCCCCTGTGCTGTGGTCACAGCTGGTGGATGGACTGGCAAGAAGGACCAAATGCTAGCTTAAAGCAGAAGCTGGGCGGGAGTTTGTCCTCTGGGTTGTCCTCTTGTAGCACAGTGACCTGAAGGTGCAGTTACACATTTAGTTTATACATGCAAGTACACTCCTAAGTGTTTGCAGAGCCGGGTCATCGTATGCATTGGAGTTATTTGCATCTCACCCTGATGTCATGACCGGGCTGTGCTCCCCCAGTGGGAGCGGTTTGCACTCATTTGCAGAGAGATCAATGGCCATAACACCCCCTGCAGCAGCAGGGACCAGGACCCCCTTCCATGCTGCTGTGTGAAGCCACTTTTACATCTGCCGGCAGGACAGCAAGCCATCCGGGCTGGGAAGGCTGCTCGGGTATGCAGACCTACAAGCTGCTCATAAAAATCAGAGCCCTGCCTGTTCAGCGTCACCAACGTGACATTTCAGAGCTTCGAATCCCAAATTCTGGTCCCGCTGCCATGTTGTCACGTTCTCTCAAGGTGTTACAGACAACAGGTTAGTGGGAGCAGCCAGTGTCAGCACTGCACTGGTCCTGCCCTGCATCAGGTTTAGTCCATCAATACCCTGTAGGAACCTTGAAGAAGGCGCTCAGCAAATGTTGATCAATTATAAAATGTACTCTAATCTTGTTTTCCTCTGGGAAAGGCAGAGAGCTGTTCTTCTGGATTTACATCCAAGTAGATCAGATCATCAGCTCCTCCGGTATCCAGGATTGCTTTCCCACTACAGCAGTGGACCCAGCAGGATATTGTTGGCGCAACAAAACTCAAATTATTTCCATCTCACACCCACAGACAGCTGTAATTCCATCACAGAACAAAGGTTAGGAGTCCTCCTCCTCTCACATAATTTAGTTTTGACAGCTCATCAGGATCAGAGGAGCTGGAGATTTTAATTTGGAGGCTGAAATCTTGCTTTGCAAGAGGCACTCAATGCATCTATATGAATCTCTGCTCCTGTACTGTGCAGGTATTTAACACAAACCTGAAATATGTAGTTCCTGACAAATTTATTTGCTAGAGGTAGCTGATACTTGACTGTGAAAAATGTAAGGCAGCTTCTGCCTTAAAGAAATATCTCTAATTAGAGTTCAACTGGAAGGTGAGATGATTAAATCAGAAACTAGGATTGAAATACCTGAACTCCGCACACACAGAAAAAGAAAATCAAGACAACACAAAATTCTTTTGAAACAGGTTTTTTTCCTGAATGTTCACCAGTTTTCAAAAAACTACAAAAACCTCAAGGACTGTAACAATATAGCACTTGAAAAAAAGGCTATTGGGTACAAAAACAAGCATGCTTTTGTTTTGGGGTTGGATTGGTTTTTTATATTTATCTGGGTTCTTTTCCTCTTTTAGCATAGTGTGAAAGAAGAAAGTACCAGTTTATTTAACAGGATAGCTCAGAAAAATAAGGAAGAACATGCTTTCCCCTTTACAAAACTCTACCAGAAGATGCATGCTTGAGGTCCAAAATACAAACAGACTGACACATTTTGTAGCATGGAGACTTTGTTGTTCGACTCACATGGCACTTCCCTTCCCCTGCCCCATGGTCAAAGATGTAGTCCATGCCATGCATTTTGCTTTCCCTTTAGTTTGTTTTGGTTTTTTTTTTTTTGTTTTCTTTCTGTAGTGAGTTATTTGCCATTTTTTTTCCCCTTTTTTTTTTTTTTTTTTTTTTTTTTTTTAGCCCTAAATCCCAGGTAGCAGTATCCAAGGTAACAGCAGAAAAGAGTCCAGATCTGCACATTATCACCGTTTCAGCAAGTTTCATGCAAAACTTAAGCCATTTCTGCATGCAACACGATGCTGGCCATTTACTGTGCCTCATACAACTCTGGGGAGGTTTCCCCATTCATTCACCACAACAGAGTTTGTTGACTGGGAAGCGTAGGTTTGCTTTTCCCATGGACACAGACATATTAAAAGACCCCTGCCCCCCTCTACACTCCCCCCCCAGCTGCCCCAAACACATGGGAATGTGCATCTCAGCACCAGGTCCAGACAGTTCACTTGCCTACAACAGCCTGGTGGCTTCAATAAAGTCCCATGATTGCAGCTCCCACATCCTTGGAAGGTCTTCGGTCCTTCACCAGAAAGTTAATCATGCTCTCCGACTTGATGAGCAAGTTGCAGCCCAAAAAGAAGATGCCGAACATCACAGTCAAGGAGAGGACACAGAGGACAGCGATCTGCACCACTCGTGTGATGTAAAGGCTCCTCTCATCGGGCACCAGGACCGAGGAGCCGCCGTCGGTCGCCAGCACCGAGCTGGTCCCGTTGCAGCAGGCCATGAGCATCCCCAAGCCCCGGGTCCTGTTGGGGTAAGCTCCCTGCTCTAGAAGAGTCTGGTTGAAAAATGATCCATTCATGGTCAGTGCGTGATCCCAAATCTCCGGGGAAGGCAAGAGGGAAGCTTGCTGTCCCCCTGCCCACCCTTCACACGCCAGGGCTCGGTGCCACGGGCTGGTGGGCTCCGAGCCACCTCCTGCTTTTCTTCTCACAACCCCTGGGATGGAGGAGAAACTTCCTCAAGGCTGCGAGCAGGTGGGAAGCCAATTTGTGCAGCTGAGGGATGGCTCACTCCTGGATCCCTCCTGGCACAGGCAGCGTTAGCACAAGCCCCCAAACAAGCCAAAAGAGAGAGACAGAAAAGGCAAAGGGGGTGCAGGGGAGAGGAAGGCAGCCGGAGATCTCCCCATGCCTCCTGCCCTCGCCGCCGCCCCGAAGCACAGCCCGTTCCCCCGGGGGGCTCTCCTGCAGGAGGGAGAGCTGATTCCTGCCAGCTGGGAGCTCCACAAATGCAAGTTCCAAGCTAAAGTCTTCACTGTGTTCAAAGAAAAAAACAGCAACTCCACCCCCTTCCAGCCTCCCCCCCAGGACCGCCTTCCTCCCCCTCCACACTCACCCAGTCTGCCCACCCCTTCCCCACGCGTGTGCACCCCCTCTCTGCCCTGTGATGGGTGCCCGCACCCACACCCCCCCCCCGTGCCACCCCCAGGTGGGGGCTGACCCCTGTGGCCCTGCGGAGCGGCACCTAACTCATCCTCCCTGCCAGCCCCCCCACCCACTCCTGAAAGCACCCAGCGTGGTCGGTGGTCGTCCTGGGCCGCTGGCAGGTCCCTATCCCCCCCCCCCCACTGGCTCCCGTCAGCCTCAGGTCAGTGCTGCTCTCGCCGATCCCCGGTTGCTGCTCTGTGCCACCCACTCCTTAGAGCAGCGCTGGCCCAGTCCACCCCCAGCTCTGCTCAGTGATGCCTGTCCTGTGCCTCCAGATGAGAGCTGGATCCATCCCCCTCTCTGCATCCTTGTCATTTCCTCCTCAGGCACCTTTGTCTCCTTCTTCTCCCCCTCCTGCTCCTTTAGTCCCTTCGAAGGGGAGCTCTGCAATGCTGCACCCTGCTCTCTGGCTGGTACCCCTTCCCTGCCCTGTCCCCCAGCTCTGGGTCACTGCAGCTGGGGCATCGCAGACCCTCTCACTCAGGCCCCTCAGCCCCACCGAGGCGATCCCAGGGGTATTTTCAGCGCCGCTCCCCTCTCTGTGTCTGTGTAAGCTCCCAAAGCGATGCCACGAGTCGGGGTGTCTCACCGTGCCAGGGCTGTGCCCATGGAACTCCCATGTCCCAGCTCCCCGGATTGGTATTTGCCTGGAAACGTGTCTGGATGGCACAGAACAGCAGATCACCCCCAAGCCACGATGTGAGGACCTTGTCCCGATTTAGCTGTGCACATCTTGGCTCGCTTTCTTTGCCCAGCCCCCAAAGGGGATTTTTAATAAAACTAAAATGAGAATTGGTAAATCGCAGCTCAAGGCAGGAGCATGAGGGTCGCTGGCTGAGGATGGAGGGTGGCTTGGTAGACAGACTGTCAACTGATTTTCCTTTTAAGCGGTTGGGACCTGTGCCCCTGTTCTGCTGCTGTGACTTCAGGGGCTCAAAACCTGTTTGGTTTGTGTTTTACTCGTTGCTTTTTCCTTTTTGTTTTGCATGTGGGGTTTCTCTCCCCAAAGGGCTGCCCAGTCTGCGAGGGCCGTTTGCAGGAGAGCTTCCTCAGCTTGCGGGAGGAAGGTGGAAAGCCCAGACCAAACAAGAGTGTCTGCTCGTGTTTGACCTGAGAGCCAGGGAAAATCCCCACTGGAAACCAGAGCATCCCATGCCCCAGCCCGGACGGGAGCTCCTCTCTCCCACTCGCTCCCACACTGAAGAGTTTCTGCTCCCTCTGCTGGCTCCAGCTCCAGCCTCTCCTCTCCCCGCACGCCCGAGGAGGGATTTGGGCTGCTGCACCCGTCGCTCCTGGGTCACAGCCAGGGCTGTGGGGCCGCTCGGTTCTCAAACACTCCCCTGCCTGCTCCTTGCCTTCATCCCTCCAGGGACTTCAAAACCCAGAGCACCCCACTGCCTATTACGCCGTGCCTGGAAAACATCAGGGAGATGTTTTCACGACAAGCAGCACCTTCTTGCAAGTTGGCAGTGAAATTCTAGTCCAGACATGCCGAATTAAGTTAATGCCTCCTCAGGCAGGACAGGAGCCCAGACAGGTGCAGGCAGGTCAAATACTTCATTTTGTGACTTTTTCCTTCTTCTTCAGAGTTTTTGCACCATGCTAGAAGTAAAGGCTGGAGTACTGCAGCTCATGCTGGGCAGGGAGTTTCAGGCCACGCAGGGCTGTGTGTGCCTTTGGAGCCAGCAGCACTTGCTCATTTGGGCGACCAGCTGCTGGGCAGGATGAGTCCCGCAGTGAAGACAGCCTGCAAGATCGACGGCAGGTCAGATCTGTGGGGCAGGCAGAGCCTAGCAGAGCTCCCACATTTCTCTCGAAAAACAGACAAATTCATCGTCCCTTCCATGAGGCACGCAGCCATGCTTGCAAGGCGATACAGTGCAGTGCATGGGTACAGGCTGCCGTGGGGCCAGAAAGCCCTGCATGGTGGGGAAAGGCCACATCAGGAGCATTTCCAGGCAGGACATGTGCAGGAAAAGCAGGAATTTGGATGCCCTAAAACTGGCTAACGGGGTCTGCAGGGCAAGATGACTCCTGAGCAGGGCAAGACCGAGTGCCCCCCCAGAAAGCAGGTTTTGGGGTTTGTATTGATGTTCCAGCCAAGGTGCAGCCCTTTTTTACACTGCAGGAGGGTCAATGGGCTTCACCTAGTTCCCTTTACCAAATCCTCATTAACAGGTCTTGGGAAGGGAGTTGGATCCCAGGTGGAAAAGGATCTCCCACCGAGCAGAGCCCACGCAGCCGCGGGAGGGCAGCAGCACCTGCCGGGATGCTGGGGCCGAGTGGGGAAGCAGAGAGGCACCACAGCTTCTTCTTTTAAAGCGAAAAAAAAGTCCCCAGTTCCATCTCACCCTCGCAAACACCGTCACCTCTCGTTGAGAGCCGCACGGCTCTGGGGCAGGTGCGTTATCCCCATCTCTCCCGGTGGAGCTGTGGTTCTGGTACAGCACCTTGCACAGCACCCCGCAGCACCCAGCACCACCAACCTGTGGCTGCAGTTCTCAGCACCCACACGAGGTTGTTTTCTGCTGCCAGGTGTTTTCTGTGTGTTGGATCATCTTGACCCAGGGTTGTGTCATTACTGTCCCCAACCCCTGTCACCTTCTTGCCGAGCACATCCCAGGGCTCCCAGGAAACAGCCCTTCTCTCCCTTTTGCCCCTCAGCCTGTATTTTGAGTGCCTCAGTTTCCCCATCTCTGAGTAGGACCTTGGTATTGGAGGGGAACAAGAGGTTTATAAAACCCCATCAGGAGGCACCCACAAGCAGCTCCAGCATTTCAGCAGGGACAATTCTGGTGCAGATCTGACTCCTTGTTCTTGCTCAGTACAGGAACAATTTCTGAGGACACAGAGGGGAAAAAAGACATAGAAGTGAGAAGAAATTAAGTCCAAATTATCTGACCCAAAGCTGAACTTCCCTCCCTTTGCAACATCCAGGTTTATACCCAAATCCTTGGTTTCACCAAGTCCGGTTCTTGACTGGGTCTCACTCAGCTCCCAGCCCAGTTTCAGCAGAGATAATCTATTTGTACCAGTGCTCTGGGGAGGGGACCTGAGAACCCACACTTTCATATCAGTGTGGATTTTCTCTATTGCCCCTTAAATCCTTAAAATCAGAGGCAGCACAGGCTGGGTTTAAAACCCAGGCTGCCTTTCATGCAAGAGTTAATAAAAGGAGGGAGTGAGCAAGATTTTGCAAGGAATTAAACCCAGGCAAAAGAGCCTATGGGAAAGAGCCTGTTACCAGCCCCAGGGCTGTAGGTCACCAGTGCCGTGTACTTGCTGCCAGGGTTTATTAGGTCCTTGTCTGAGCTGAGAGAGCGGAAAAGGCATGAGGAGCTGCAGGCGGAGCGGGCGGGGGCACTCCCTGACTCAAAACTGAGTGGCGAGCCAGCGCAGTTTCCTCCGGCTGGCCCCGCTTGCCATGTGTGTCATACACCCAGACTCATGATTCATCTCCTGGACTGCTCAAAACCTCTGGCCACCCCAGAGCTGCTCTCCATCGCTCACGGCAGGGCTGGTCCAAGCAGCCCCCCACACTCGGGGCTCGGAGGAGAAGATGGGAAAACTCTACGTGGCTATCGGGATCCTCACGCTCTGCGCTGCTGGCGGCTGGGGTAGGTTTACAACCCGTAGCGCTGTCGCTTGCTTAAAGCCAGGTCATTTAGTGATTATGATGCCTGTTATTTCCCTAAATCCCAGGACTTTCTGCATTCCCAAGGTCTGTGATTTCCCGGGAAAATCACTCGGAGGAGGAGCTGGCAGCCTGAGACCTCAGCGCAGTTCCCAATTACAAAGCCGGTCGGGTTTTGGCTGGGTCGGGGCCAGGAGGGTTTCTCAGAGGTGTCACAGGATCAGGACATGGTTTGGTGCATTATTCTTGCACTGGGTGCGGCAAATTTATATTCTCTACCTACACTGTTTGGCTCCAGATACTGGTTTGTAATGGAAACACAGGGGTGTGACTTGGGCTCCATCCTCCATAAACAGAAAATACACTGGGGAGTTTGCAGGGCAGGTAGTCACTGTCTCCATCTCATTTTAAGGGCACGGGTTGTATTTATGTCAGCATTGCTGCCCTGTGTTATTTTTTTCTCATGCTATTTTGGTGCTTTTCTTTAAAAATTCTGATTTCTGTCATCAGGTGATTTCAGGACAAATGTAGTTTGTATTTTAAAAAAAAATTTCCAATGTCTGAAGCATGGAGGGGAAGCACAGAAAAGTGTTACCTCCTCCCCAGGTGTGTTTCTGGGGCTCTAAGCAAATCTTGCAACTGAAAAATGGTGCAGTGTTTCCAGCTCCTGATTTATAAATCGGTCCCATTGTTTTCAAGGCCCCACTCAAGGAGGTTTGGGGCAACATTGTTCTGTCTAAAGAATTCCAGACTTTGTTGAATTCCCAGGAACAGCCTGAGGCTCTGATCTGGTGCCAGAGCGAGCTGTCATCAGTACAGGACATAGGATACCCCCTGGAAGAGTTTGGGTTTATAGAGCTGCAGTTTGGGGCTGTGCAGGTATTTCTCTGGTCCTGTGAGTCGGTGCCTGTAATCCGCTGAGCTCAGTTTGGGGCATCCCCTCTCCGGGATGGTGCTGGCAGACAGGGAGAGGTTCAGAGAAAAGACACAGGCCCAGGATGGCGTGGGCAGGAGATCAGCCAGAAAAGCCCAAATCCCTCTCACTGCGTCAAGCAGAAAGGCCAGAGAGGATGTAAGTATGGTTTGTATCTTTATCAAGTTTTCTGTGCGCACATTCTTGCTCAAATTGGCAGAGGGGGGGAAAAACAAAGCGTGTGGCCGGCTCATGCAGTACGTAGAGGAGG